TTTTTTTTTTTTTTTTTTTTTGTAGCTTTCTGCCTATAAACAGAGGAAGGTTCAGCTACCTGGAGGAGAGAGGCCTCCACCACGTGCTTTCCGGCCCATCCATCATCCCCCCGTCACCTGCAAAAACTGAATAAATAGAACATTGTAGTAAAAAGTGCTGTCCTTTATCACGAGGTCAGCCGTGTTCCTGCTTTCTGGGGTTCTTCACTCTGTATTTGGTAGCTTGTGGGTGGTGAACGGGGGCTGGACTTCAGAATTAGAGCTCGTGGGTGCGGAGGGGAATCGGGGACTCCATCCGGAGTCCTTGTGAGTGGGCACAGCTCTCTCGGCCTGGACACCATCCCCTGGTGCTCTTTCCCCAAAAAGAGATACCCCAGCAGGTCTTGTCTTGTAGGGCTGGACCCCAGTGGGGTGACATCAGGTTTGCACAAATGGGGAGGCTGGGGCTATCCTTCCTAGAGCCCTCTGTGGCTCTTCCAGGCCCCAGGGGTGGGGGCACCGTCTCCATAGCTCTTGGGCTCCCATCTGCTCAGGGCAGGAATCAAGGTGTTGACGTGAGGGGAGAGAAAATGGGCTTTTGGGCCTCAAAACAAATCGTGGCTTATCGAAGACTTCTTTTTCCCTGTCACCCTATCCTGACCCCTCCTGTCCCAGCTGAGACACAAAATTAGGCAAAAGTGGTAGCAGTTTCTCAGTCCTCTCCAAAGATCCCCTCCCCTTCCCCTCTGCACCTCAAGCCCAGACTTTGTGGGCTCCCAGCCCCCAGATTCCCACAACCACCAAAGCAAAAGATTTTCTCAAACCCATTTCATAGATGCACCACTTGGAAGCACAGAGAGGGTGAGCCAGTTGCTTGAGGTCACACAGCTGTGACAGGCCGACCCCAGCTTTGCACCCCAGGATTCTAACCTCAGAAAGTGAAAGCTTCCCTCCTGGGATTCAAGGCCAGGCCGTGAGGAATCCACACTCAGACCCTTCCCATGGCAGGAATTTATCTCTGCTCCCCTTCCCGCCGCCTACTTGTCTCTAGGGCCCCCTGAGGACATACATATCTGCTGAGCTAGGGAAGGAACCAGCATGTAGTGTGATACCGGATGCAAAGTTGGCCCCAGAGGGCCCTTGAGGGAAACACATGTTCTGCCTCGGAGACAGGACGTGGGGAGCGATCATAAGACCTCCCCACGTCCCTCGCTCATCCTGTGGAGCAAAGCCAAGCTCAGCAAGTTCCCCAAGTCTCCATCTGCAGCAACTGTCCTTGTGGGAGAGCAGGGGCACCTTTCATTTTTTATTTTATTTTTCTAATTTTAAATATGTTGTTATTGATTTCAGAGAGAGGAAGGGAGAGGGAGAGAGATAGAAACATATGTGATGAGAGTCATGGATCAGCTGCCTCCTGCACGCCCCCTGCTGGGGATCGAGCTCGAAACCCGGGCATGTGCCTTGACCCGGAATCAAACTGTGACCTTCTGGATCATAGGCCGATGCTCAACCACTGAGCCACATCGGTTGCTTCCCCCTTTTTTAAAAATCCTCACTCGAGAATTTTTCCCCCATTGCTTTACAGAAAGAGTGAAAGAGAGCGAGACCCATTGATTAGTTGCCTCCCACACGCTCCCTGACCAGGGCTGGGGATTGAACCTGCAACCCAGGTACATGCCCTTGACCGGGAATCGAACCCGTGACCCTTTGGTGTGCAGACCTACGCTCCGACCAATGACCCACACCGACCAGGGTGAACAGGGGCCCCTTTCCGGGAGCCATAAGGTCACACCAGGGGGTGGAGGCTGCCAGACATGGCCCATCTGGGTGGCACTGAGTGGCCCCTGCAGCGGCTTCTGTCACACATGGAGGTCAGAAGGGACACTTCCCAATAGAACTGGAAAGGGTGCTGGTGCCGGGAAGCCTCAGAGGCAAGGACACAATTAGGGGCTGTCACTAGGCAAGTTGACAAAGCTGCATAGCATCCCCTCCCTGCCCCCCCCAGACATGGACTGGTGGGGCCCTGTAGAGATGCAAGGACCTTTGGTCCTAAGCAGTGGGGACAGGCCTCTTGCACATGCTGAGCCTGCAATCGAGGTAGGTGCCCTTGGCCGGTGTCGAACCTGGGACCCTTCAGTCCTCAGGCTGAGCAAATGGTTATGGGGGCCAGTTCAACACCAACAGGAACCCCCAATTTGGGGTGGGGTGAGGAAGGGATCTTTATTCAGTGCAAAACAGCTCCACTGGGATACATCTGGGCTGTGAGGCAGCCCTGGGGCCCCTGCCCGGCTTTAAACTCACCTGGGGCCCCTGCCCGGCTTCAAACTCACCTGGGGAGACACAGCCTCCAGGTGGAAAGGAAAGGATGTTCCTGAGCCAACAGGCAGGGGGCCCTATTGAGACCCAAGTCCCCGCCCCCGGTCCCGGATTGGTCCATCCTCATGCAAATGAGGGTTCCCAATCCTTGAAGTTGATTGGCCCCGAAGGCACTGTCCTGATTGGTCAGAATAGAGCGGCTCTGATTGGTCGCTGAAGATGCTGCTGGGGGATATAATTGCTCAGCTCTGATTGGCCGGGGGAAGTCTCAGTGTCATTGATGGAAATAGGCCGCCAGGCGCTGGTCTGGGAGGGGCGGGCTCAGGTGGCAGGAACCCGGGGCAGGGGGGCAGTTGGGTGCTGGTTTCTCCCTGAAAGGTTGGGCTAGAGGCCCCTTGTGTAGAATTGGCGGCTTGGCTCTTTTGTTTGTTTGTTTGTTTTCTGTTTTTTTGGTGTTTATTTTTATAATTTGAGCTCAGTTAGTCATCAGGAGCCCTTCTTAGCAGGATTTTCTATTATTATTATTATTATTATTTTTAGTCAAGGTTCACAGAAGTAAAAAAATAGAAAGCTCTGCCAATGCTCGAAACAATGCAATTCACACGCTGGCTGTGGACTCCCCGACCTCTCTTACTGCCAGGATCTCTTCGTAGTCACCTTTTGCTGTTGCTACAGTAAATTTCTCCCAGATGATCTGGGGAGGGAGAAAGAAAGGAGGGTGTCAGGTTTTGCAGGAGCCCAATGAGCTGGTGGCGGGGATTGTAGATAGAAACCCCACACGGATCTACAGGGGAGACCTTGTAGCCCACCCATGAGCTGGACCGCCTGTGCGGAGGGCTTGTGAATGGGAGATGGGATGTAGGATGCTGCAGGTGCAAAGGTCCTGGGGCAGGAGGGAGCTTGGAGAGGAAAACAGGGGAGGGGGCTCGTGCTGGTGACATGAGGTAGATAGGACCCTGGAGATCCCTGGGAACCAGGGGCCAGGGCATGGGCTCATGATAATGACCAGATAGATATCCAGGTCAGTGATGGAGTGAGCAAGCCGTGAACTGGTGGCTGAAGACAATGGAGAGCCCACTGTGGGGTGGCCACGGGACAGAGCTTGAACCACCAGCAAGAAAAAGGCATGGTTGCTGCCCCGGGGAGAGTGGCCCTTGAGGAGGGCCCTCCATGGGGTGTCCGGAGTGGAGGTCCCCCTGTTCTGAGTCATACTTCACCCCCTCCTGGCCTTTCCTCCAGGCGATCAAGCCAGACTCCTTCCTATGTGTGTGTCTTTAATCTCCCCAGACTCAGCTCCTAGAGAAGACCTAACTCCTGACCCCACGACAAGGCCACCGAGCTGGACACGGCCACATCCTGCAGCCCCCTCCTTGACGAGACATGGACGTAGGAGGTGACAGGACATTTGCTGCAGAGGCCCTGGGCCCCTCCCCATACGAACCTCGTCGTCAGTTGTATGGTTATTGCTCAATTTATCTTTGATTCTCGGAATTGGTGTCCCAACAAACCTGGTGAAACCAAAAAAAAAGTGATGAATGAACGCAGAGGGTGGAGATGCTCCTCGTGGCCAATGGGGACGGCTGTCCTACCCTCTTACCACCACCCTGAGAAGCATCTGGAACCATCTCCCCAGGACAATGTCATTTAAACGTCAGAGAAAGATCCGCTCAACTCACAGGAAACAGAAAATAGGAGATGCTATTGCAATACAGAGTGGCGACCCCGAGGGTCTTTTCTGATTGTTTGCTAATCTTTGCCTGAGGATATTTTTTCCATTGCTTTTCAGAGCGAGGGGAAGGGAAGAGGGGGGGAGAGAGGGAGAGAGAGAGAGAAACATTGATGTGAGAGACACATGGATGAGTTGCCTCCTACAGGGCCCCCGACTGGGACCGGGGATCAAACCTGCAGCCCAGGTTCTTGCCCATGACCGGGAATCGAACCCGTGACCCTTTGGTGTGCAGGCTGATGTTCTAAACACTGAGCCACACCGGCTGGGCTGGGGTTACCTTTTAAAAATGAAGCTGAGGACCAGGACGCAGAAGAGGGTGCCCAGGATCACCAGCACGTAGATAGGCACATTGCTGGGACCCCATTCTCCGGATCCTGGGGACAGAAAGGGACACACTAGGGGGTGAACAGGCAATACGGGGCCACCTCTTTCCCTGGCTAGTCTAAGAACAAACACCCAGAGCTGGAGGGGAATAATCTAAAGGAAAGAACACGATCCTGAAACCTTTGCAAAACACATGCTCAAACATGGGACAAAAAGACCCTGTGTGCGCGAGTCCCCCAAACATATAAATTCTGAGAATGTTGCAAACAAAGACCGATGACCCAGCTTAAAAATGGACACAAGCCCTGGCCAGTGTGGCTCACTGATTGCACGTCGACCTATGAACCAAGAGGTCGCCGGTTCGATTCCTGGTCAGGGCACAGGCCTGGTTTGAGGGCTCGATCCCCAGTAGGGGGCGTGCAAGAGGCAGCCGATCAATGACTCTCATCATTGATGTTTCTCTCTCCCTCCCCCTCTAAGAATCAATAAACTTGTCTTTTAAAAATATTGCTGACTATATATTCCATATAAATTCTACTCTGGTGGTTATAAAAGTCACGGACCATGGATCAGAAAAATAAAAAATAAAAATCAACGTTTGCTGAACGCTGAAAACCTTTGAAACTTTCCAGGGAGCGGTGGAGTGGAAACTTCTTAAGTACCAGATTGGCGTTAGGTCCAAACCGCTTAATTCTTGCCAAGTAATGAAAGCCGGAGGCAGGAAGCCAGGCCCATCTGTTGTTAATTTATTTCCTGGAACAGCTCGCTCCTCACGAGGAGGAAACAGACCCCATTTAGATGCTGCCTTTCAGGGGCCGAGGCTGGTGACTGTCTGATGTGACCAGGAGTGGTTATTTCCTGCTGGGGTGTGGACATTAGGAGGGCTCTTGTGCGTCCCTTCCTCAGGAGGGGTCCGGCCTGTGAGCCTTTATTAAGTGCCAGGAAGATTTTTTTTTTTTCATTTATTTTATTTTATTTTTTTAGGGAGTGGAAGGGAGAGAGAGAGAGACACACACATCGATGTGAGAGAGAGACATTGATTAATTGCCTCCCGCACGTATCCTGATAGAGGCCGGGGATGGAGCCTGAAACTCAGGTACGTGCCCTTGTCTGGGAATCACAACCACGACCCTTCAGTCTGCAGGCCGACGCTCTCACCACTGAGCCAAACCAGCTAGGGCGCCCAGGGAGATCTCGCACAGGGATTCCTCCAGCTCCCGAGCCTCCTGGAATGGCTCTGAGATGAAGTCAGGGCGCCGGCCATCTCCAGCGAGACTCCCAGGAGGGATACATACCAAACTCAGCCGGATGGCTCCAGGCACCCCACAGAAGGATCCTGTAGTCCGCGGCCCGTATCTGCACAGTGTGTCTGGCTCTGGGCTGAGGGCTCAGAAAGTTGTATTTATTTCCCGAAGTACCAAACACCTCAACCTTCGGAGAGGGAAGAAAGTTAGAGAGAGAGGTCACCTGCGATGAGCAAAGAAGGGGTTGCGGAGATGCGTGAAAGTTGTCGAATGAAAAGGAAGATTCTGCCACCAAAATGAAACCGTTTCATCACGGCACTGTCTAGAAATACATGCTTTTGCCCTGGCGGGTGTGGCTCAGGTGGTCGAGCATTGTCCCGCGAGCCGAAAGGTCACCGGTTCGATTCCCCATCAGGGCTCGAGCCCTGGTTGTGGCCTTGACCCCCAGTAGGGGGCGCGCAGGAGGCAGCCAATCAATGGTTCTCTCTCATCCCTCTCTCTCTCTCTCTCTCTCTCTAAAAAAAAAAAAAAAATTAAATAAATAAAAATATATTTTAAAAAAATACGTGCTTTCCAAAATTCACATAGGTCTTCACCCCCTGAAGACTTCCGAGGAGAGCTTGAGTGAATCATTACAATGAGTGATTCATCCATTCACCAAAAAACCTCCCCTTGCGGCTTCTAGGATCATAAATATAGATGCAGAATTTTTTTTTTCCACCGGTTAAAGCGATAGGAACAACCCAGAGATTAGATAAGGCCCCGGGGTGGGGGGGGCATACTAAACATCGAGTTCAAGTTCCTCGCAAGATGGTCCTGAGGTCAGAGTGGCAGTGAGACTCAATGTCACCAAGATGTGCCTTGGAGATGGACCTGAGACGAGTTCAGATGGAAGAGGTAATCTCCTTAGTACTCAAAGGAATGTTTTCTTTCTCTCCTTTTTTTTCCCCCCAATATTTTTATTGATTTCAGAGAGAGGGAGGGAGAGAGAGAAACATCAATGATGAGAGAGAAACATCCTTGGCTGCCTCCAGCACACGCCCCCTACTAGGGGTCGAGTCTGCAACTAGGGCACCTGCCTTGATCGGGAATCGAACTGGGGACCTCTTGGTTCATGGGTCAGTGCTCAACCAGTGAGCCACACCAGCCGGGAGGTAGGGACATCTTCTCGACCAACGTGGATGGAGGCGGAATAGGAAGTGAAGATCAGCGGGATGTCGTAAGTACTTTGAACAATTGGGACAGGACACGTGAGCCACCGAGATGAGACCCCACCCAGAGGGGCCATTGAAAGGTCCCTACTTTAGTGACTAGAGGGTAACCCTGATGAAGCTCCAAGGGGGATGTTGGGGGTCAGAGGGTCAACTCACCAGTTGATTACCACCGTGTTCCATACTGTTCTAGAGAAACAAAAGAACAGATTAAGTTAATTTTTCTCCATTTCAAAGTTTTTGCTGAAGTTTTGTCCATTCTACCCTTTGGAGAGTGTCCAGGGAACCAAAAGAGCCGAGCAAAGGGCTGAACATCTGTCCATTGCTGCCCTGGAGGTGACCACATAGAGAGGGATGGAACTGGTCCAAAGGACTAACCATGTATTCTTCTGGGACCTGAGCAGGAGTTGGAACCTCATTAAAATCCCGGTGGATGCCCTGGCTGGTGTAGCTCAGTGGCCGAGTGATGGCCCATGAACCAGGAGGTTTGATTCCCAGTCAGGGCATGTGCACGGGTTGTGGGCTCGATCCCCAGTAGGGGGCATGCAGGAGACAGCCGATCCATGACTCTCTCTTGTTACTGATGTTTCTGTCTCTCTCCCTCTCTCTCTCCCTTCTTCTCTCTGAAATCAATAAAAACATATTGTAAAAAATAATACAGGTGGGCAGTGGTGAGAGACCTCCTGGTCATCTACACTGAGTCCAGGTGGACCTGGAGCTGAGGTTCCTCTTTGTCTACACTGAGTCCAGGTGGACATGAAGCAGATGTTCCTCTTTGTCTGCACTGAGTCCAGGTGGACCTGGAGCAGAGGTTGCTCTTTGTCTACATTGAATCCAGGTGGACCTGCAGCAGAAGTTCCTCTTTGTCTATACTGAGTCCAGGTGGACCTGGAGCAGAGGTTGCTCTTTGTCTACACTGAGTCCAGGTGGACCTGGAGCAGAGGTTCCTCTTTGTCTACACTGAGTCCAGGTGCACCTGGAGCAGAGGTTCCTTCTCATCTACACTGAATCCAGGTAGACATGGAGCAGAGGTTCCTCTTTGTCTACACTGAGTCCAGGTGGACATGGAGCAGAGGTTCCTCTTTGTCTACACTGAGTCCAGGTGCACCTAGAGCAGAGGTTCCTCCTTGTCTATACTGAGTCCAGGTGGACATGGAGCAGAGGTTCCTCTGAGTCCAAGTGCACCTGGAGCAGAGGTTCCTCTTTGTCTACACTGAGTCCAGGTGCACCTGGAGCAGAGGTTCCTTCTCATCTACACTGAATCCAGGTAGACATGGAGCAGAGGTTCCTCTTTGTCTACACTGAGTCCAGGTGGACATGGAGCAGAGGTTCCTCTTTGTCTACACTGAGTCCAGGTGCACCTAGAGCAGAGGTTCCTCCTTGTCTATACTGAGTCCAGGTGGACATGGAGCAGAGGTTCCTCTGAGTCCAAGTGCACCTGGAGCAGAGGTTCCTCTTTGTCTACACTGAGTCCAGGTGCACCTGGAGCAGAGGTTCCTTCTCATCTACACTGAATCCAGGTAGACATGGAGCAGAGGTTCCTCTTTGTCTACACTGAGTCCAGGTGGACATGGAGCAGAGGTTCCTCTTTGTCTACACTGAGTCCAGGTGCACCTAGAGCAGAGGTTCCTCCTTGTCTATACTGAGTCCAGGTGGACATGGAGCAGAGGTTCCTCTTTGTCTACACTGAGTCCAGGTGGACATGGAGCAGAGGTTCCTCTTTGTCTACACTGAGTCCAGGTGCACATGGAGCAGAGGTTCCTCCTTGTCTATACTGAGTCCAGGTGGACATGGAGCAGAGGTTCCTCTTTGTCTACACTGAGTCCAGGTGGACATGGAGCAGAGGTTCCTCTTTGTCTACACTGAGTCCAGGTGCACATGGAGCAGAGGTTCCTCCTCGTCTACACTGAATCCAGGTGGACATGGAGCAGAGGTTCCTCTTTGTCTACACTGAGTCCAGGTGGACCTGGAGCAGAGGTTCCTTCTTGTCTACACTGGGGCCAGGTGGACATATAACTATTGGCTCTCTTGATTCTGTTTCTGAATCTCCAACTTCACCTCGAAGACTTTNATTCCTCTTTGTCTATACTGAGTCCAGGTGGACCTGGAGCAGAGGTTCCTCTTTGTCTACACTGAATCCAGGTGGACATGAAGCAGAGGTTCCTTCTTGTCTACACTGGGGCCAGGTGGACATATAACTACTGGCTCTCTTGATTCTGTTTCTGAATCTCCAACTTCACCTCGAAGACTTTCATGGATGCTTTGTTTTGTGTCTGTCTCTTTGAAGCTGCTGGCACGGTGGTCCTCAGGTCAAGGACACCTCTCCTTACCACCGCTCCACCCTGCACTCATTACAGTTGCATCACCCACCCTCTCCTGTGACCCTGGCCCTCACACTGAGTCCTGGGGTCACCATCAAGCTCTCTGAGGCCCAGCACCCTGCATGGAGCAGTGCTTGCTCACCTGTCTGTGGATGTCCAGCTGGTACTGGAACTCCGAGTTGGGCAGTCTCAGGCGTGTCCTCGGCTTTTCCCACTGGATGAGGCAGTGGGATCTGTTGCAGTGGACGGTGATATTTCTGGGTGGGTTGTATATTTCTGTAAGGAGAATCCAGGATGCACCCCTGAGCCAGAGTGCTTTCTCCTTGCCATGGAGGTGAGACCTCAGAGGGGAGACTCTGGGGGTGAGACCTTAGAGGTGAGACTCCAGAGGTGAGACCCTGGAGGTGATGACCCTGGAGGTGAAACCCTGGAGGTGAAGACCCTGGAGGTGAGTCCCAAGAAGTGAGACCCAAGGGGCGAGACCATGGAGGTGAGATCCTGGAGGTGAAGACCCTAGACGTGAAGATCTTGTAAGTGAGACCCCAGAAGTGAAGACCTGGGAGGTGAGTCCCAAGAAATGAGACCCAGGGGGCGAGACCATGGAAGTGAGATCCCCAAGGAGAAGACCCTAGAGGTGATGACCCTGGAGGTGAGATCCTGGAGGTGAAGACCCTAGACGTGAAGATCTTGGAAGTGAGACCCCAGAGGTGAAGACCTGGAGGTGAGACCCTTTCTGCCAGACTTTCATTGACAGTCACCTCCTACAGGTCCCAAGGGGACAATGATTGACGGGCTGAGGCGTGCTGAGCACAGGAAGTTTAGGTTCCAGGAGGCCCAGGGAGGGAGGCGGTGATGCATTTGGAGGCCTGAAGACACGCTCATGAGATGCCTATAAGCTTTAGAGGCCTGGGGCAAACTATGGGATCAGGAGGNAAGTTTGGGTTCCAGGAGGCCCAGGGAGGGAGGCGGTGATGCATTTGGAGGCCTGAAGACACGCTCATGAGATGCCTATAAGCTTTAGAGGCCTGGGGCAAACTATGGGATCAGGAGGGGCTGGCTTTGCAAGAGAAGTTACTGTGAGGCATATGGAAGGGTCCCCAAGAGGCCAGCTTGGGACAGGGTGCTGGGAAAAAGACAAAGCTCAAAAGCCAAACAAACAATGCCCACCAATTCCCAGTGGCCCAGGGTGGGTGGGGGGAACGACAGCTATCCTGGAAAGTTCTGGGTTCTAAAAAGAGGGAGGCGTCACCTCTGTAGGCTCAGTATGTGGACACAGGACCGTCGGCAGGCTGTGGGGTGGCCCGAAGTGAGGGGCATGGGGGAAACAGGGTTCACATGGGGACAGCAAAGGCATAGTTTCCAACTGGGGCAGCAGATGCACGTCTGAAAAGACCAACCAGCGTGCTCCAGCAAGAAATGGAGGTTCAATCAATCGTGCCCCTACAGCGGTTCCAGCAATAAACACGATCGGAGCCCTGTATCTGATTCCCTTTATTTTTATTTTTTATTTTAATATGTTTTTATTGATTTCAGAGGGAGAGAGAGAGAAACATCAATGATGAGAGAGTCATTGATGGGCTGCCTCTTGCTCGCCCCCTACTGGGGATCGAGCCCCAAACCCGGGCATGTGCCCTGACCGGGAATCGAACCTGTGACCTCCTGGTTCACAGGCTGACCCTCAACCACTGAGCCACAACGGCCAGGCCTGATTCTATCTTTTAAAAACAATTTTCAATTACAGTGGACATACAATCTTATATTAGTTTCAGGTGTGATTAGACATTTCTATAACTTATGAAGTGACCCCCACCCCTCCGTAAATCTAGTCCCGGAACAGGAACAGACTCGTAGGCACAGAGAACAGATTGATGGTTGCCAGATGGGGGAAAAAGGTGAAGGGATTGAGGGATACAAATCGGTACCTGTCTGGCTCCACGTTTAAACTGATGTTCATTCCATTTGAAACACAGAGACTTGACTTGTGATTGGAACCTTTTAAGGTTATGTTTGGACAACCTGGCCAAGGGAGGCTCCTCTTGGGACGATAGACCACCCCCCTGGGATCCACATCTCTATTGGACAGACCTGATCCCATAGAACCCAACAGGTGCTGTCCCTGGAAGCCTGCGTTTCCAAGCTCAGAGGAAAGAAAGCACCAGTCTCCCCAAATCCCCACACGTCCCCCAGCCCAGAAGCTCCATGAACCCGATCATTTTAAATTTTTATTAAGGCTTGATTGCATTGATACATCTGATTAAATCAGGGGTCACAGATGCCCTGGCCAGTGTGGCTCAGTGGGTCGGGCCTGGTCCTTTGCACTGAAAGGTTGCAGGTTTGATTCCCCATTGGGGCACATGCCCAGGTTGCAGGCTTGCTCCCCAGTAGGGGGCGCACAAGAGGCAGTTCATCAATGTTACACTCTCCCATCAATGTTTCTCTCTCTCTCTCTCTCTCTCTCTCTCTCTCTCTCTCTCTCTCTCTCTTTATAAAGAAATNGCTCTCCCATCAATGTTTTTCTCTCTCTCTCTCTCTCTCTTTATAAAGAAATCAAGCCTGGTCTACGTGGCTCAGTGGTTAAGCATCGTCCATGCACCAAGAGGTCACCGGTTCGATTCCCCATCAGGGCACATGCCCAGGTTGCAGGCTCAATCCCCAGCAGGGGGCGTGCAGGAGGCAACCCATGGATGTTTCTCTCTCATCAATGTTTCTCTCTCTCGCTCCCTCTCCCTCCCTGTCTCTCTAAAAAACAAACAAACAAACAAAAAAACAATAAAAACATATTTTAAAAATTCAATAAAAAATCTTTAAAAAATTTTAGTGGTCATTGGTGATTGAATTCATTCACCAGCCCCTCCCCCTCCCTTGAATCACATGTGGGGTGTTTTTGGGTTTTTTTTGGGTTTTTTTGCCCCCATCTTTGGGACTTTCCAAAAGTCACTTCCTCCACATAAAAAAAGAAACCATTTTCACTCTTCTTACAGGAAATTCCTAGAGTTTTAGGAGCTCGGTGCCAAGTACTTGATTGCTTAGTCTAGATCCCAATACTTTCAATTAACGGTTGGATTTCTTGGCTTAAGTAAAAACATCAGAAACGTGGAAAAAGGGGACAGGGATGCTTTTGAAAGAAGGGCCCAGGGAGATGTTTTTCCTACAGTGAGGAGCAGCCTGACCCTGTAGGAAATGCAGATAGAAAGAGGCGGGCTTAGCAAGCACACCTGCCACCTGCCCAGGTGCAAACAGCAGAAGGTGCCCGGACAGGTGAGCCTGGAGGCGTCGAACCCCAGGGGGTTAAGGGGAGAACTGGCATTTAACGAATTTTCCTATGAAACCCATCTCCCTATTTTCCCTGTGACTATCCAACTCGCCTGCCCACTCTGGGACTTGGTGAGAGGGGCCACGGGACTTGAAAATTATTAAGGGTTATCCTACAGAGCGGCTGGGCAGATTCTGAACGGCCGTCTGGGCCCAACCAGGGAGGGCAGAGCAAGCAGGCGGGGGACCCCTGCAGCTCACTTGCAGGATCTAGTCTAGAACCTGCTGTGCTTGCTTTTCCGGGGCGTCTGTCTCTCTCGTTTGGGGAGACGTGTCACTGCACCCCTCCCCAAATAAGGGGAGAGATAGTGGGCCTGCTCCCACATGGAGCATGAAGGGGCCAGCATAGCCCATTTCCTACCCACCCTTTTTTACTGAAGGTGCTTGGAGGGAGATTGCTGTCGATTGCAGGCAAAATCCCTGTGTGTCCGGGGTGTGTCCTGCCAGGGCACCCGGAGGACCTCTGCTACCTCAATAGGCCACCGGTCATACGTCACTGTGTTCGATTCAGAATAAAAGCAGAGGGGAGGCCCTTTCCTTGCAATCCGTCCTGAGTATATGGCCATATCGTTCTAGAGAATCAAAAAAACAAACACAGAGGAAGCATCCATCATCTTGGCAGGCCCTAAAATAAGTAGCTTCTATTATTACATGTAACCCTACTTGGGGACAGGGTCTTTGTAGACGGGATGAAGGGAAGGCTCTGAGATGAGGTCGTCTGGATCAGGGGGGGGGGGCCGACACCCAAGGGCAGGGTCCTTATAAGAGACAGAAGCAGAGACACGGACACAGAGGAGAAGCCACATGGAGACGGAGGCAGAGACGGGAGGGAGGCGGCCACCAGCCCGGGGACGTCTGGAGTTTCAGAAGCTGGAAGAGGCAGGAAAGACCCTCCCCTGGAGCCTCTGGAGGGAGCTCAGGCCTGGGAGACCGTGACCTCAGACTCCTGAGGTCACTTTAAGCCCCCAGGAAACGTACGTTGATTTCAACACAAATGGTGTTTGATTTATAAGCTGTGGTTCAATCCCAGGCCCTCGTTCTTACCTATTTTCTTTAACATCAAAAGCTTATCAAAGAACTGGATGTCTGCTTTCTGACTGGTACCGTTCACCACGATGTAAATGTGAGAAAACAATTCTGAGGCGCCTTCTAGGTGACATCCCACGTGGGTCCCCGCGTCTTTTACGTAACGGGGACAGTGTCTTTCCCTTCTCCTGTAAGATTCCAAAGGGTGTTCAGACAACCATCAGGGCTTTTTTTTTTTCTTATTTTTTTTCCCCCTCTTTCTTTCTTCACCGCGTTTCTCATGGTTGACTGCATGGGGTCAACACTTACTTTAAGTCTTGGATATACAAAAAATATTGGACGTCGTCAGGGGCTGCCGGACCCTTGGCCCAAGTGCAGTTCATGAAATCCACGTTGTAGATGAAACAGGAGACGTTTTGTGCCCCTGTGTCCTTGCCACCTGGGGAGAGACCAAAAAAAAAAAATAATAATTTACACCTGAAGGTCAAAAGAGGGTGGACCAGATGGCTTCGTGATTTGAATGTCCATCAAGTCAATCATCAAAGAAGCTGCCGTACTAATCCTTCTTAAACTCAATGCAATAGAAAACAGAATGCAATAGAAAAAAAAACCACATGTTCATTGCAATAAAGGCAGAAAAACCATATGATGAAATTCAACTTCCATTCATGATGGAAAAAAACAACACGTAAAATACTCAACAAAATAGGTACAGAAGAAACTTGACCTCAACCCGATAAAAATCAAATATGAAACGGTCATAGCTAACATCGTACTCAACGGAGGAAAACGGAAACAATCCCTTCTCAGACCCTGTGCAAGGCAGAGGTGCCCACGATGGCCACTTCTGTTTAACTGGGCCCTGGAAGTTTGAACAATTAGGTAAGAAAAAAAATAAAGGAAAGAATACAAATCAGAGAGGAAGAACGTAAAGGTATCAGTGTTTGCACATGGTGTGATCATAGGTGTAGAAAACCCTAAAGACTAGACAAACAAGCAAAAGACACTGAGGCCTGGCTGGTGTGGCTCAGCGGTTGATCCAGGAGGTTGGGGTTCGATTCCCGGTCAGGGCACCTGCCTGGGTTCTGGGCTCGATTCCCAGCAGGGTATGTGCAGGAGGCAGCCGATCAATGACTCTCATCATCAATGCTTCTATTTCTCCCTCTCACCCCCTTCCTCTCTCTGAAATCAATAAAGATATATATAGTTTTTCAAAAAGACCTAATAAATTCAGTCAAGTTGCAGGATACCAGATCAGCGTACAGAAATCAGCGGCGTTTCTACACACGGATAACGACCGATCCAAAAAAGAAGTGAAGAAAACAATTCACTCACCATAGCAACAACAACAAAAATAAAGTGCCTCGGAAAACACTATATTACAAAACGCTGTTGAAGGAAATGAGAGAACACACAGGAAAATGGAAAGACATCCCATGTTCATGGATTGAAATATTTAATTTTGTGATAATGTTCATACTACTCAGTATAGATTGTACATAGATCAATACAATCCCTATCAAAATCCCAATGGCATTCAGTAGAGAAACAGGAAAAAAAATACCCTAAAATGTATAGAGAACTACAAAAATCTCCACACATCCAAAGCAATATTGAGAAAGAAGGACAAAGCCAGAGGCGGAGCCCCGGTTTCTGACCTCAAAATAGATGACAAAGCCGCAGGAATCAAAACAGTATGGTACGAGCATAAAAATAGGCATGTATCCCGGGCTGGCGTGGCTCAGTGGTTAGAGCAGCAGCCCACAGACCGAAAGGTTCTCGGGTTCGATTTCTGGTCAAGGGCCCACACCTGGGTTGAAGGTTTCTTCCCTGGCCCCGGTTGGGGTGCGTGCGGGAGGCAACCCATCAATGTGTCTCTCTTACAACGATATTTCTCTCTCCCTTCCCCTCTCTTTAAGTAAGAACAACAAAAACGAACCCCCAAACCCCACAAAAAGAGAGACAGCTGGGATGGCACCAACCTAAAAGGCTCCTGCACAGCAAAGAAAACAATCCCCCTAGTGAAAGGCAACCTGTGGAATGGGAGAAAATATTTGTGCATTATAAAAACTTCAGCCAGAGAAAACAAAGCATAAAACACCCAAATCATCTGATTACAAAAAAGGGCCCGAATAGGCATTTTTTCAAAGAAGACATAGAGATGTCGAAAAAGGTACAAGAAAAAAATGGTGCTGAACATCACTCCTCACCAGGGAAATGCGAATAAAAACTACAATCGGATCTGACATCTGTTCGAATGACGGTTATAAAAAAGACAAGAGAGCCCGGCCGGTGTTGCTCAGTGGTTGAGCGTCCACCTGTGAACCAGGAGGTCTCAGTTCACTCCCCAGTCAGGACGCACGTCCAGGTTGCAGCCTTGATCGCCAGTAGGGGGCGTGCAAGAGGCAGCCGATCGATGATTCTGTCTCATCCTTAATGTTTCTATCTCTCCCTCTCCCTTCCTCTCTCTCTAAAAATCAATAAAAACATATATATATATAAAAAGAGACAAGAGATAAGGAGTGTGGGTGAAGATGTGGAGAAAAGGGAACTCTGTGCACGGTTGGTGGAAGTGTAAATTCATCCTGTCACTATGTAGAACCAAGCAGTTCCTCAAACTCTTCAAAATAGAACTCCAGGATGATTGAGCAATCTCGCTTCTGAGTATTTGCTTAAAGAAAACGAAATCTGCATCTTAAAGGGTTATTGCACCCCCATGTTCATTGGGGAGTTTTCTGCCGTCGCCGAGAAATGAAAACAAATGCATTGTCCGTTGATAGATGAATGGATAAGAAATGTGGTACCTATGGACAATGGAATATTATTCAGCCATGAAAAAAAAAAAGAAATCCTGCCATTTGGGACAACATGGATGGATTTGGAAGGTAAAATAGTCAGACAGAGAAAAAACAAATACTGTATAATCAATCTCACATATATAAAATGTAAAAGAGTTAAACTCACAGAAATACAGAGTAGAATGGTGAGGTGGGGAGGGAGGGGAAAATGGGAAGATATTGGTCAAAATGAGCAAAGGTTACCCCTGGCCTGTGTGCTCAGTGGTTAGAGCCCCGGCCCATGCACCACGGAGTCTTGGGTTTGAATCTCAGTCAAGGGCACGGACCTGGGTTACAGGTTCGATCTCCGGCCCTGGTAGGAGACCATGAAGGAGGCAACCAATTGATGTGTCGCCCTCCCATTGATGCTTCTCTCTCTCTCAACAAACACACAAAAACAATGGAACAAATATCTTCAAGTGAGGATTGACAGCAACAACCAAAGGCACAGAGGTTCAGTTTTGCAAGAATGAATACGTTCCGGAGATTTAATGGGAAGATCTAGTTAATAATAAATGTATTTTTCACTTGAAATTTGCTGAGACAGTAGGTCTCAAATAACTAAGACAAAGAAAAAGGTAACCATGGGACATGCTAACAGCTTGATTGTGGAAATCATGTCACAGTGCATCCGTGTGCACCATAAATATAAACAATTCCTATGTTTCAATTATATCTCAATAATGCTGAAAAAAAGGGGGGGGTCTACTTTGACGCTAGTAGGGTGGAGAGGGGTCACTGTGATATTTTTCATACCTGGGTTAGAGTAGAACATTTTTTCTGTAATCTGTCTTTGGCTGATATTTACTGTGACCATGAACTCGATTCCCTCGTGGAGAATAGCATCCTGAAAGGTGCAATGACATTCTTTCTCCTTGAGCTAAAGAGATCCAATTAACCAGTGAATTAGGAGGAAGTCCTCTGTCTTCTCATCATGATGTTGCTAGCTCCTAGCTCAGCTCCCAGACATCACGAAGTCATCTGCCTTCCTGCATGAAATCCCCCCTGCCCCCACGTACCTTCCTCTGGGTGGATGCCCATATGCCACCTTGCAGGCGGGACCTCAGCTTGATAACCCAGAGCAGCGTTTAGAAGGTCACAGAACAGAGCTCATGTCACCAGGGATCTTATTAAGATGCAGATTTTATTTCAGCACCTCCCAGGTGGGACCTGAGACTCTGCATTTCTAACATGCTCTCGAGCGATGCTGTTGGGGCCCAATTTGAGTAGTGAGATCCCACACCACCTTAAACGTCATGGAGCTCAACGCACCCTCTTTTACGATATTGCGTTTTCTTGTCCTATCTCATAGTCCACAGGCTTTCCACAGGCTTCCTGTTTACATTGTATCCAAGTCAGTTTGCTACTTTGTTTTTCATTGAACACTCAGGGTTAATGCTATTTCTTTCTCAGGATTACGTCTGGACCATCTTTGATGGATCAAACCAAACAAAAGGAGGGCAGGGAAGCCAGTTTCTCTAAGCAACTGGGAGTCACAGAATAAACCACTTTTCTCTCTTCGCCACTGTTGTTGGGGAAGTTTGTTCCCATTGAAATTCTGGGAGCATTTGAGCAGCCACTTGGAATCTACATCTACTGCTTTGGGTCGCCCATCTTTCCAATGAGCCTCACTTCCCCTTCCTCAGGTGGCTAAGCGTCCTGAGGGTGCCACCTCCCCTCCCCTTGGTTCCCTCTGCTAGGTCTGACCTCATGGAAGCTCTGAGCTGGGGCTCCTTTCCTACGAGCATGGCCGCTGCAGTCTCTTTAATTTTAGGATCAGATATTTTTCCAGGGAGCTCCTCAGTCACCCAGGGAATCAGGCCACTGGACACCTGTTGGACATGAGCTAACACTACCCTGGTGCAGCTAGAACCCTTGTTCCTCATTGTGTCCCGAATCATGTATTTCTCATTCACACCTGTTGTTGCCTGGTTTCTAAGCTGAGGAGATCTGCCTAAAGGATCCGAAGAGAGTGTATAAAATCCATCTTACCTTCTTTATAACTTCTCCGTTTTCATTGCTAATCATCACACATTGGATGGAGGTGGTGTTTTCTCTGCAGTCCCAAGTCAAGTTCCTTCTCCAGGGGTCGAACTTTATGTTTAGACTGGGACTGGGGATAGGTTCCGTGGTTGGAAGATCTGAAAGATGTGGCCACCAGATCCCGAAATCACTGTTTTTGTCCTCACTTCCCACAACCTACACATCTCGGGTGTTCGAAACTTAGGCCAGGGCTGGGACTTGCTGTTCCCCTTCCCCTGTCCTCAGGCCAACCTGGGTCTTGATCCAGGTCTCACCATTTGCTGATGGTTTTTAGGTTAAACCGTGGTGGTCCCCGAACCTTACTTTTATCACTTGTAGAGCACTGGGGGGAGAGGGGAGGTCAGTCACATGGGAGGTCCATCATATACATTAGGAACAAGCTCTGGCCAGTGTTGCTCAGTGGTTAGGGCATCAGCCCACTCACCAAAAGGTCTCAGGTTTGATTCCTGGTCAAGAGCATGTATCTGGGTTGCAGGTTTGATCCTTGGCCCAGTTGGGTGCATGCAGGAGGCAACCAATTGGTGTCTCTCTCACATCAATGTTTCTATCTATCATCTATCTATCATCTATCTATCTATCTATCTATCTATCTATCTATCTATCTATCTATCTTCTATCTATCATCTATCTATCTATNTATCTATCATCTATCATCTATATCTATCTATCCATCTATCTATCATCTATCATCTATCTATATCTATCATCTACATATCATCTATCTATCTATATCTCCCCTTCCCGTCCCTTCCTCCCTTCCACTCTGTGTAAAAAACAATGCAAAAAATATCCTGGTGTGAGGGTTAATGAAATTATATATATATTCACACACACATTAGGGATGAAATGAAATTGTACCCACAGATTGAGACATGTTCCCAGATGCCGGTCACCTAAGTGCAAGTGGCAGAGGGGAGTCAAGCACGTTTGCACACTTACCCTGGTGCTCCGGGGTCAGGAGGAATGCTGAGTCAAGCAGCACCATGACCAGGATGGATTTCACCAGGGGACCCATGGGACTGCCTGAGGGACAGGGAAATGCTGGGTGGAGAGAGAGAGTCACACTTTGAGGAAAGAAAGCAGTATTAGGACAATGACATTAACAAGGTCATCTGAGACAAATCCCCACATGTCAACATCCTTAACTTCATCCCATCAGCAAAGCCCCTTGGCCGTGCATGGGGGAGCGACTGTTTCATGACGTGGCCACCGTCTGTCCCCCGAGCTGGACCTGAGTCAGAATGCAAGTTGCTTCCTTCAAACCCCCCTTAGAGTCTGTCTGATCGTAATTGATGTTCATTCTTGTAACGGGGGGGAATGGTAGCTGACTCCACCACTCCTTTGACATTCTTTCTGTAAATGCTGACTCTGACTCATACGTCGCTTGTAGATAAACAGCATGTTTGTATAAGAATCCTAGGAACTAACTTTAGAAGATGCAGACTCTGATCTCCAGTCATCTCAATTCTGGCAGGTTTGCTGACCTTCAACCGTAGAACCAGAATGGACCAGTTTTGAACTTCTTATCGGAATGGAATCTGCTGACCTGCATGTAGAGAACTTTTCAACCCCCCTCCGCTTGATATTTGTTCTGCGTTCCCCTCTCTCTCCTCATAAAAACCTCTACCTGCACAGAGGTGGGGAGATGGGCTTTGCAACAAGAGCCCCCCCCCATCTTCTCAGGTTGCCAGCACTTGAATAAACCACTTTCCTGTGGCTATCCCCCAATGACCGTTTATAATTCTTTGGTGCCTGCAAAGAGTCACGGGGTCTCATCTTACAGCCACCCAAAACTTATGCTTTTTGGAAGTTTCCCTTAATAAACTCGATCGATTAGCAGACTGCAGTGGCCTGTCTCTCTTCATTTTCAGAGGTAGAGCTTGTGTCTGGGGCTTCTCCCTGGGTGTGTATGTACAAACGCTATGTAAGGCGATGTCTCCACAGGTTTTGGGGATTAGGTTTTGGGGATTGGATTTGGGATAACATTATCCAGCCCCTCACAGGTACCAGACCCATTCCCCCAGGGCTTGGAGCAGTGTCAAGGATGGGTGCCCTCTTATAGGAACATGCTGCCTGAGGGATGGAGACCGTGAACAGCCGAGGTGTGGCCAGGCTGCTGGACCGAGAATTGGCTGTGGCTACACACACCACACATCCGGGGCCCATCTTTCTCTCTGTGCCTGAGTCTAGGAATAGAGCCCGGGGATACCCGACCATCTCCCAGGGTAAGGTTTCATTTCTCTAAATTCACCTCCTACTCTTGAGCCAGCCTGACTGAAAATCCAGGGCCCACCCACCCACTGGCTTCTGCTTTCAACTTCCTGAAACAGGATGTCTCCCATACAGTATGGATGGGGACTTCCCAGCACCCTGTGACACCCTCACACCCACTTTGAATCAAGCGTGACTGCCTAGTAGTCCAGATGAGCCGTGAAGTCATGGTCCACGCACACTGTCACCTTAAGATGCTTTCTTAAATCCTCACCTGAGGATATGTTTATTGATTTTTTTTTTTTTTTTTTTTT